TATGGCTGAGTAATATTCCATTGTATATACATACCACATCTTCTTTATCCATTCCTCTATTGTTGACCATTTAGGTTGCTTCCGTGTCCTGGCTATTGTAAATAGTTCTGCTGCCTGTTTTTAAAATTAGGGGAGGCAGAAGGGAAATAGTCCCTTGGGATGAAGTGATGGAAGTTGAGACCAAATAACCAAATATCGGGGTATTGTTGCAAAGAAGATATGGATGTTGCATCAATAATAAAGGTGTTTGGTGAGGATGGAATCATGGTATGATGGGTTAGTTGGTTGATCTTGAGAGTGATGTGATAGATCTGTCTCCGCTTAAATTTATGGTGAATCAAAACAGGGTTCTCTTTCATGGGCCATATACAGTATGCGTGTGTGCTCTGTCATCTCAGTCGTGTCTGATTCTTTGTGACCTCATGGACTGTAGCCTGCCAGGCTCCTCTGTCCTTGGAATTTTCCCGCCAAGAATACTGGAATGGGTTGCCATTTCCTTTTCCGGGGGATCTTCCTGACTCAGAGATCGAACCTGTGTCTGTTATGTCTCCTGCATGGTAGCCAGGTTCTTTACCACTAACGTCACCTGGGAAGCTCGAACATATAGTATATTCACCCTGAATAGTGCTGGAGAGCGAGATGCCCACATTTTCTCCTGGAATCTTCTATCACGATTTCTGTGGTCAGCATCCTTCCTTTAGTCCATTTCTTCAGAAAGAGTATATACTGATTGTAATGACAGAGGTGTATGTTTTATTAATATAATCATGATTTAGTTCTGCCTTCTTGTTACATCCAAATTACCTTGATTTGATTTTGGCTGTCCTGAGGCAATGGCTTCATGGTTGATCTTAGACAAGCCACTTAGCTTCAGATTCTTCTCATTTACTTTCCAAAGGGTAAGCTTCACTTTAATGTGAAGTTTGTAACAGATTCTGTCCCAGAAGAAACCACTTTGATTTCTCATCATCATTTTAATAAGCACTCTAATGATAGACTAACTATAAAAAGCATGGCATCTGGACCTAGCTGTGTTCAATGATTTATAAGCATTTATCTTTTTAAAATATTCTCATGAGTGTATTGTCTCCAGTTACTGATGAGGAAGCAGAGGCACAGAGAAATTGAGTCACTTTTCCAGGTTCATACTGTTTTAATAGCAAATCTAGATTGAACTTCAGCTGATAATTCCAAAGCTGGTGCTTTTAGCTCTTTATTGTTTCCTTCATTCATTCATCCACTTATTTATTATATATTTTAACTCTATTCCCTGTTGCTCCCTGTACTATCCCCTAGGAGGAAGGCATTCAGTATAGTAGTTATATAATACTGCTACTAATGATGATGATAAATATAGTTTTAGCTCCTTCTGTATGCCAGGTACTTTACATACATTTTATGGATCGTTACTGCATTCCTAGGATGTAGATAACATTTTTTTTTTCTTGTGACAGGAACCTAGCAACTTTCAAATATGCAGTATAATATTATTGACTGTAGTCACCCTCTCCATGGCTTATTTATCTTACAGCTGGAAGTTTGTATCTCTTGACCCCCTTCATCCATTTCACCCACCCCCTAAACCCGCTTTGGCAACCACTTTGTATCTATGAGCACTTGTTCTCTTTATCTGTGAGTTTTGCTTTGTAGAGTCCCCAAAGAAGTGAAATCATACAGTGTTTCTTTCTCTTTTGACTTGTTTCACTAATACTCTCAAAATCCGTTCATGCTATCACAGATGGAAAGATTTTATTCTTTATTTTATGGTTGAGTGGATTCCATATGTAAATGCCACTGTAGTTATCACTTCTTAAATTTTGCAGAGGAGATAATCAGTGTTGAAGAGATGGAATCACTTCACAAAGTCTTATGGTGGGTATTTGAATTATTTGCCTTCAAAACGAAAGCTCAGAGGCACTGATAGATGGAAGTGTGTGGTACCTCTGGAGGATATAGCAAGTTGCCCAGTATAGCTCAAGCCTAAAGTGAATGATTAGCTGAAGCTGTTGAAAGGATCAGGGAGATTAAAGTGGGGAAGACGAATTTCTGAGTATTTTTTAAAAGGATGAGTTCTTAAATATCAGATAGGAGATTGAAAATTCAGAGTGGTAGAGAAAAGACAGATTCTTGAGTGGGGGAAAAGAGAATAAAAGTTGCTGTTTTCTGAAAGAATGAAATCATATAGCACAGGAAAAAGTGTGGTGGAGATAGAAAAATCCTACCATTATTTGGAAAACAGGTTATTCATAGATTTTTTCTTTTCAGATAGGTAGTGTAGAGAAGATCCTTATTGTCAGACATAACAGCACCTTAAAATGATCAAACTTTAAAAATCCAGTCTGTTGTGTTTTTAAATTCAGAGCTTTGGTAAGGTGCTTTATTATGTCACTTATGACATATTTATAAATGTCATGGCACTAGTAAGGATATGTAAAGCTTTGGTGGCCACAGGATTATTATCTTGTCTTTTTTAATCTTCTGGTGGGCGTATGCTTGGCATGCCCAGAGCCAGAAGTGGTCTCTGTTTATTTGGCTTTCATTCAGAAACTATTTTCTATCACAGTAAGTCACCAGTCTCTGTAGCATCAGGTGGCTGGTGATGGCAGGTTGACCTACAGTACCTGATAAGATCACAAATATTCTGGTAGTTACTTTATGAACTGGCTCTTCTCTGTAACAGTGAGCCTTTAAAAAAAAATGGATTCATCAGGAAGCAGGAATCTTTATTCTTTAGTCTATGGATGAGTATATTTGAACAATGGCAAAAAGCAACGGACTTGAGGCCTAAAAGGTTAAGTACCCCTTTCTTTTCCTTCCTATTCTTTTTGCATATTTTTAATGGCCTCTCAATGACAATTAAATATGCCTCTTGGGAGTGAAAACTACTTGATTAAGCCAAATATGGAGAGTAGCTCGGGTGGGTCTTAGGGGTACAAAGGTAGCAGTAGTTAGGCAGAGTCAAGCTTTCATGAATTTTGCAGTCCAGTCTACAGAATCAAGGACCTCAGATTTGGCAAAGACTTAGGAGTCACCTGGGCTAACGTCTCACACTGTAAATTTCTTCTTCACCATCTTTCCCGGGCAGCCAGGTGAGTGTGGACCTTCCACTTGAGTTCCAGTGAGTTCTCTAGCCTGGAAGCATTGTCACTCTGGGAATGCAAGGACTGTAGGGGATTTGCTTCCCGTTGTGTCTACAGAGTGTGGCGGTGCCTCCATGGCTGTCCTGTGTTGTCAAGTAGCCCTTATTATTGGGATGTGCCACTTAACTGCCAGTGTTTTCAGCCTTGGAATAAAAAATATCTAACATGAAATCCCACTTTGGCAACTTGGGCAGTTTCCTTATATCTCTGATTTCAGTTTTTGCATGTGAAACTGGGGAGTTTGTGCGTTGTCTTCTGAGATCTACTTGTAGAATTATCTAAAGGGATTAATTAGAATGTCTATAAAGACTCTCACACGTAGTAGGTGCTTTGTAAGACCTATTCCTCTTGGGCATAGCTCTGGTCTTTTTCTGGTCATGTGATATTTGATACTAAGTTCAGATCCCAACGGTAGTCTGTCAAGTACAGAGTGAAATAGAACTATTGCTTTGTATGTACAGGGCATTATATGAGTTCTTTTTAAAGCAGTAAGATAAGGATGTGGGTAAGTGAGCAGGAAACTGCACCAGCACTGGTGTCCCTGGCTCCCTGAATCTGTGGCAGTGTAATGATTATGAAGACAATACTGTTAGGTTTCTTGGAGGCGTGAAGAGAAGAGGGAAATTCAGGCTTATATCAGAATTTATTAGCATCAACTAAGACTTCTCATCTGAAAGAAGAAGTGGAAAAGTGAAAACTTCAATCACACTATTGTTTGTTCTACATTAAAACAGTCAGTTGAAGTGATTCCCTTTGGACTCAACTTGGTTTAGAGACAGTCTAAATAATTAATGTTTTGAATTAATTTTATTTTTCAACTTGGTTTAGAGACAGTCTAAATAATTAATTTTTTGAAAGTGAGTATCTGCTGCAGCTATTCATAATGTGTATTTTAAACTACCCATTGTGCACGAGTGGAAGATTTGAAGGCCCAAGAGGGTGAATTTGTCCTTTGCCTTATGTTTATATGAGATTGGCAGTGTTAAGGGAAGGAAAAGCTGCATTTTCTCCATCATCTTTCCCCATTCCACAATGTATTTACCTGGTGAGAGAAGCCTCCCCAAATATTCTCTTGTTGTGGCCTTCATTTTGGGATACATGTTATATTGATTTTTAGGTAACGTCTAAAATATTGTTACACTCTTTTTGAAAACGCGTTAATAGGGATGTATAACTTCTACAAAGTGGGCTGGGCAAATTCCAATGATAGCACTTTACTAGTAATTTCTAGGGAAGATAATGGTTCTATCTTTTTATTTAAAAAAATATAAAACTAGGGGGAAAAGGGTCCAGAGGTGTTCTGGCTTATCTGTAATAATCCCATCACTATAACAGTAGAGTGGATTTGCTTTAGAGAACCAATAGCATAAATATAAATGTCTTTAATTTATAGACCCGGGGACTTTACCAAAGGTTATGTTTTCTACCAACTGTCTGCTATCATTATTATTTTTAAATGGAAAATTTTATTTATGCTTCATTTATATTTAGTGTGGTTTTGGTACTAAGTGTACGTTAGACTTTGATGAATTAGTGGCTTTGTGTGGCTGGGTGGTAATAATAATCCATTAAAGTGAGCACTCTGTTTTTCAGCCATGCTGGATAACTGAGAAAGCAACTTTTAAAGTTGTTTCTTTTAAAAGTTACTTGTCACAATAGGTTCCTTAGAAAAACTCAAGGTGAATTTCTTTAAAAAAAAAAAAGGCTCTTTTAGGAATATCAATCTGATTTATATACTAATATGAAAGAGTTGATTTTTAGATTATTTTCTTAAAAATTTTTGAATGTTATATCTTCTCTACTGTGCGTTTACAAATAACTATTAATTGGATACATGATATATGTTGTTTATTTTTGTAGTTAAAACAGAGCCAATGAGCAGCAGTGAAATAGTTTCAACAACAGCAGACGGGTCTTTAGACAATTTCTCAGGTTCAGGTAAGGAATAAATATTAGATTTTCACATTAATATGAAACATTTTTTGTGGTTTATATATATACAAATATATGTGTGTAGATGCATATGTATGTGTATATTCTCTATGTAATACCATATAGTTTTTCTCAGAGTCACATATTTGCAATTCTGATATTTTTATTTAGTGTGATGCTGAAGATTTTTGAGAAAAAAAATCAAAATGGGTGCTGTTCTCGAAATTATCTTTATTATGTTAATGACTCCTTTTGTCTTTCATCTGTGTGATTTTTCTTTTTCTTTTAAAAACTATTTATAAAAAATAAAAATGATTTATTTATTTGCCTGTGCTGGGTCTTAGTTGTGGCACACAGGGTCTTTGGTCTTTGTTGTGTGGCATGTGGGATCTTTAGCTGAAGCATGCAAACTCTTAGTTGCAGCATGTGGACTCTAGTTCCCTGAAAGCGAAAGTCGCTCAGTCGTGCCTGACTCTTTGTGACCCCATGGACTATACAGTCCATGGAATTTTCTAGGTCAGAATACTGGAGTGGGTAGCCTTTCCCTTCTCCAGGGGCTCTTCCCAACCCAGGGATCGAACCCAGGTCTCCTGCATTGCAGGTGGGTTCTTCACCAGCTGAGCCACAAGGGAACCTGGCTGGGGATGAAACCGGGGCCGCCTGTACTGGGAGCATGGATCTTTGCCGTTGGCCCACCGGGAAGTCCCTGTGTGATTCTTCTAGTCAAGCAAAATATTGGCTTCTGATACCCACTAAACTGACTTGCCAAGTCATCCTCCTAAGTAACTGTCATATCCACTAGAGATTAGACTTTGTAAAGCAGCTTTAGATCGTTAACTTGGCCTTTCATCTCTTTCACATTGATAAAGTCTGCCTCCAACAAACAAAATATCTGTGTTTTTCCTCCGCTACAATAAAATTCCTGATAAAAAAAAAAGTGACTGTGATAATAAATTCACTGTGAGAATTTGAGTTTATCTTTGTCAAATTACCCAGCTTGGACTCTTTCCATTAAGAAATCATTTTTATCAGAAGTAATTCTTCAGTGTTTAACCCTCTTCGAGTTGTCTGCTGTGTTTAAAAAGCTCTCCATTGGAAATGCTCTACTTTTGTAAATTTGTGAGCGAGTTCATCCAGCTCTCAGGATCATTTCACATATAACACAACTAAAACGCGTTATGTAGATATAAAACAAAATGCAGATGCACAACATTTATGCTAATGGTACCAGCTAGAGGCAATAGGAAATAAAATGTTAGACCTGTAGTTCTTTGTGAAGCATTTACTGGAATTTGACTCATATCAAGCAGTGTGCTGCATGCTATTATGGATTCAAAGATGTGTGAAAATGGTCCTGGCTTGTGGCTTAATAGGCAACCTAATCACCAGGCCATCACAGTTCAGCTCGGTGATGCCAGCGGGAAGCCTGGGAACCCCTGAGAACACCCGGGAAGAAACCGAGTTGGAGTGGGCTGGTCAGGGAAGATTTTCTGGAGGTGTCTAGAAAACACCTTTAAGAATGAGTAGCAATAAAGCACACACAGAAGTGAGGAGGAGGAAGCTGGACAGATGGCGCATTCCGTGGGAGGAGACCAAGGCAAAGAGGCTTGGAACTTGGAGGAGCCACTGATGGATCAGCCTCCTTGGTGTGTCTGTTGTGAGTGGTGGGGAGTGTGCTGCATGGGGAGACAGGGGCCAGAATCGACACAGGCAGGGGTGTTCCATATGGTGTGTGTGTTTTATCCTGAGTGCCATGGGTGGCCCCAGAGGAAGAACGTTGCATGATCATATTCCCTTATGGAGTGACTTGGGCAGAATGGAAGGAAGGCTGGGGAGCAGGAGGGTAGAGAACAGTTTTTTTTTTTTTTTCTTTCATCTGGGCAAGAAATAGTGAAGGCATGAAATAGGGTGCTGGCAATATTCATTGGAAGGACTAATGCTGAAGCTCCAGTACTTTGGCCATCTGATGCAAAGAACTGACTCTTTAGAACAGACCCTGACTCATTAGAAAAGACTCCATTAGAAAAGACCCTGATGCTGGGAAAGATTAAAGGCAGGAGAAGGAGGAGACGACAGAGGATGAGATGGTTGGATGGTATCACCGACTCGATGGACTCAAGTTTGAGCAAGTTCTGGGAGATGGTGGTGAACAAACCACCGACTCATTCATTCTGCCTTTTTCATAATTTTTTTGCACAGCATATGTATAGAAGTCATACTTTTAAAAAGGCATCATTTTAAAGTGCAAGTTAAGAATCACATACTGTAAAGACATGATTGCCACATCTTCTCAAAGTATCTGTGAATAATCCCAAAGTATTTATGAATCCCAAAGTATCTATGAATAATGGTATTGCATTGCATCATTGTTTTCCTGATTTTTATCACAGTCCTGTGGTGAAGAAATTTCTTGTTTTTAAGAAATATGCACTAAATATTTATGTGTAAAGAGGTATCATATCCACAGCTCCAAAAAATGTGAGCTATACAGGTGCATACATGCACACACACATATATATAGAGAGAGAATAAAAGCTAATCTCAGAAAATGTTACCATTTGGGAAGTTTGGGTGAAAGATATCTGGGAAGTTTTTCTACTATTCTTGCAACTTTTCTGCAATTGTCAAATTATTTCAAAATAGGAAAGTTAAAAAATGAGAAGAATGGATGGATTTAGCAGTTTTAGTGGACAAAGTGGACAAGCGAGCTTCATTTCCCCTTGTGTCCACTGGCCCATATGTCCTGCCTCTGTGTCTTAAGCATAGTTCCTAGCAGGTAGTATGTTCTAATAAAGTTTATTGAATGAATGAATAACGTAATGAATGAGAAAGTGGAGACAGGGAAGAGAAAAATGTCTTTCACATCCATAGGTAGTGAAAGAAGAGAGATGATGGTCCATTAGAAAGAGGGTTGAAGGGTTGATGATGACGTTTAGAAGGTCGGGGTGGTCTGGGATGTCATATAAAGGCAGGTGTGAAAGGCAGAGGCAATCTTGATGAGATAGCAATGGCTTACATTCAAAACAAGAGTGAATCAGCCTGGAAAAAGAATAGCTTTTCCACAGAAACCTCAAGAAAGATGAATGGGAAGTAACGCAGATGAGTTTGAAGAGAAGAAGTAGGAGGCAAGGTAGGGAATTCCTGCCTGATTCCTCTGTTCAAACCCTCCAGCAGCTCCCAATCCTTACAGTGAGCTTGCATGCCCAGCAGATCCTATTGCCTGCCTCCCTTGCCTCCTGCTCTTCCTCTAATCAGGGTTTCTGCAAGGGCAGTCCTGCTGCCGGGTACCTACTTAGGTACCTGCCTGACTCCATCACCTTCCCATCCCACCTTTTTGATGATACCCACTCTGACCACCCTACTCAGTGTTACAAAACTCTCAGTCTAGATTTCTGATCTCTCTAAATGCTGAATCTCCTGTCCACCAAACGACATACAGAACCGTTTACAAGCTATAGCATTCAGTTGTGTACTAGGTTTATTGTTGGTCTCTCACCCCCATCAGAATGTAAGCTCGAGATGGCAGGGATTCAGTCTTCCTTTATTCATTTGTATCCCTGACATCTGAAAAAGTACCTGGCATTTGTTAGGTAGTCAGATTGGAGTTCCCTGGTGGTCAGACGGTAAAGAATCTGCCTGCAGTGAAGGAGACCTGGGTTTGGTCCCTGGGTTGGGGAGATGTCCTGGGGAAGGGAATGGCCACCCACTCCAGTATTCTTGCCTGGGAATCCCATGGATTTCCCCGGTGGGCTACAGATCATGGGGTCACAAAAGAGTTGACATAGCTGAGCGACTAACACTTTCACAACACAGGCACTCAGATATTTACTAGATAAATTTTGGGTACATGAATGAATGATGGCTTCTGCTTTTTTCTCTGAAGTGACTCAATATGAGGAGAGAACTGAGGGCAGCAGTAAAAGACCAATTTCAAATAACTATTTGCCTAACTAGAATAGGTAGAAAAGACTGAAGGAAGGGGATAATAAATTGAGAGAAGAGAACATGTCAGGGGTCCTGCCTCTCTTGGATGATGGCTTGGAGAACAGATAAGATGGGAATAAGGAATAAAAATCCTGTGAAAAGAGGATGTTTCTTCTTTAATCTCAAAACTCACTTCATGCTTTTGGCATTCCTCAGCCTTTATCAGCCCTTTAAAAATTATCTTGCATTGTCTTTCCTCCACCAGGCGTCCCTGGTGGCTCAGATGGTAAAGAATCTGCTTGCAATGTAGGATACCTGGGTTCAATCCCTGGGTTGGTTGGGAAGATCCCCTGTAGAAGGGAATGGCTACCCACTCCAGTATTCTGGGCTGGAGAATTCCACGGATTATACAGCCCATGGGGTCACAAAGAGTTGGACAGATGAGTTTGAAGAGAAGAAGTAGGAGGCAAGGTAGGGAATTCCTGCCTGATTCCTCTGTTCAAACCCTCCAGCAGCTCCCAATCCTTACAGTGAGCTTGCATGCCCAGCAGATCCTATTGCCTGCCTCCCTTGCCTCCTGCTCTTCCTCTAATCAGGGTTTCTGCAAGGGCAGTCCTGCTGCCGGGTACCTACTTAGGTACCTGCCTGACTCCATCACCTTCACATCCCACCTTTTTGATGATACCCACTCTGACCACCCTACTCAGTGTTACAAAACTCTCAGTCTAGATTTCTGATCTCTCTAAATGCTGAATCTCCTGTCCACCAAACAACATACAGAACCATTTACAAGCTATAGCATTCAGTTGTGTACTAGGTTTATTGTTGGTCTCTCACCCCCATCAGAATGTAAGCTCGAGATGGCAGGGATTCAGTCTTCCTTTATTCATTTGTATCCCTGACATCTGAAAAAGTACCTGGCATTTGTTAGGTAGTCAGATTGGAGTTCCCTGGTGGTCAGACGGTAAAGAATCTGCCTGCAGTGAAGGAGACCTGGGTTTGGTCCCTGGGTTGGGGAGATGTCCTGGGGAAGGGAATGGCCACCCACTCCAGTATTCTTGCCTGGGAATCCCATGGATTTC